ATTCTGTGTCCTTTGGGTAAATACCTAGGAGTGGAATTGCTGGATCACATGGAAGCTCCATTTTATGATGAGCATGTTTCACATATCTATTAGAAAATCAATTTTATCAGCAATCTTATGGTATTTGAAATTGTATTGTGTTAACAAAATAGGTACATTAAAAGATGATGTTCATTGGCAACCAACAGACATACAAAGCTGAATAAGAGAGGTTTCTGCTATTGAGGCATTTGTATTTTAGTTTTTACTATTGACTTATCTACACATACAGTAGTAGGATGATATAGAGCAAAATCTGGGAACAGAGGAATTTGGGTAACTATGCCTAGTGAAATTGAAGTTTTTTAGTAGGGAGTATCCTGACCAGGTCTGTGTTTTTAGGAAGGTCATTTTTGTAGGAGAATTGGAAGATTAGCTTCTATGTGGTGTTGGCTAGGAAACAGGGAAAATAGTTAAGGAGCTTTTATAACTATTCAGAAAAGGGAAAGGTAAGGGCATAGACTATGAAAATAACTTGGGGAAAGAGAAGGGGCACCCTAATGAAGAGGTACTTAGGGTATAGATAATAAAACTTAATAACTGTGTATAGGAATGAGTGAAGGAGAAGCGGAGATTTTTGTATTTTCAGTTTGGTTAATTGATAGACTACAGTTTATTAGCTATTCCAGAGAAGTTGAATGGAACAATTTAGAAAAGAAAATCTGTTTCTATATAATGAGTACTAGTTACTGATTATAAAACCTTGGGACTTTTCTCAGCAGGCAATGATATGTGCCTGTCTCAATCTCCAGTATGAAAATTAAGCTGAAAATAGAAATTTGGACATGATCACCCATGGGTGGTGGTTGAAGTCACAGGTATGAAATACATTTCCTAGAGAGAGTGAAGAGTGAAAAGAGATAAAGCTATTGACAGAACTTTAGGAGAGAGCAGCATTGTAGGGAGAGATGTTATTGTGAAGAACAAATCAGATGCTGTATGTGAAAGCATTTTGTGAATGTAATGTACTTTTCAGGCACAAGAAATTATCAAGATTTTCATCTTCTATAAGAAAAGGGAAATAAACAAAACCATGGGAAACACTGAAGCAGATAAACAGTAAACTTGGATACATTGTGAAAATCTACCAGCATTTCTTTTTTTTAAAGAACATTTCAAGTGTTTAGGTAAAAGAAGCCTTTGTCAAGACAAAGTAGGAGCCAGAGTTCCTAGTTTTGTTTGTTCCAACTGCAGCCACAGATTTGCCATCTGGGAATTTGTAGTAATTATAAGCAAGTATTTTACACTGAGTCATCCCCCATGAAGCTGGGGAGATAAAGCCTGAGTCTAGATTTCCATTCAAGAATTTTACAAGGCTGTCATTCTAAGAAAGCCCAGAAAATTTTCATGAACCATTTTGTTTTAAAATCTGTACATGGCTTGTACTTTAATTATCAATATTGAAGATATTTTTATTAAGACTACAGAAAAAATAAAATAATTCCTTATTATCACCCATATGCTCATATCCCAAATATTTAAAAATCACGTTTTGTAATTTGTGTTGCAGATTCAACCTTCCTTTTTATTTCTTATGAATTTGAAACAAAAAAAAAATTCTTGTTCAGAAAACTGTGTGCTATATTAGAAATAATGATAAAACTTGAATCAGAATACATGAGGAATTTATATTTCACCTTTGATATCTGTTGATGTGGAATTTAATTTCCATGATCTTCAGTAGTTAACTTCCTCTGAAAAGTGGGAGTAATAACAGCTAACTTGCAGACTACTGTATAAATACAGTGACCCTCTAACAACTGTAACACTGTAAATTATAAAACACTTTATAAATATTAGACTATCTAAATATGAAATTATCATTAACTCTGTCATAACTCTGAAAAAAGGGGTTCATTTTTAAATTTTTATGTGGGTTGTTGAAGTAACTCTGACTAAATGTTGGACCTGGAAAAACTCCATTTTGCTATGTCTCAAGCAGAGAGTGAAAAAAATCCATGACTGGACATTGACTATCTGGTATCAAAGCTCAAAGCCAACATCATCTCTTCAGTAAAGGATGTGGGTGACTTGGCTATTACCTCTCCCATTCTATTGTCAGCAAAGATTGCAGAGAAAACTCAGTTACATTATCCACATCCTCCCTCTTTTCAGGTCTGTGACCCCTGTGCATTCTTGGGCTTATTAGAAGATACTCAGTTCTCCTACATACTCTGGTCGTACCCGCTAAAAATTGTTGTAATTTTCCATAACATTTATTATATAAAATTACATGTTACAGTGTTCTGTTTTCTCTTAAGCTGAAAATATGGGGACTCAACATATCTTCATTTTAATTATCTTAATGTTTGTTATTTTTTCTCTTTATATTAACAGCATTTACACCACATTTTTATTTAATTACCTGTTTCACATAGGAACTAAGTAAGTATTTGAGGGAGGGAAAGAGGAAGGAAAAAAAAAGGAAAATATGAGCCTCAGGGAATTAACTTTTATAATGAAACACAGTGACCTTGAGTACTGTGTGTTACAAACTTATCCTGAGGTTGACGATTTGATACCAAGGGTTTAAAATAAAATATCTCTTAAAATCTTAAATAGCCTGTTTAGATCAGATGTTGAATGCATAAATTAAGGAGAAAAATTCCCAGGAAATGGATTTCCATGTCTATTGCACAAGATTATTTTTGAATGTGTGAAAACTGAATTGAAGAGCTAAATTCATTTAGTTTTATCTTTAGTGATCCAGTTATGCATGATGATTATGCTATTTCACATTATGAAAATGACAACCAAGAATAATATTGTGAATATATACAATGCTATATCTATGATTGATTTCATCATATTTAACTACTAAGTTTTATTATATTAATAAAAGAATTGACTGATAGAGATTTTTAAATTGTTAAAGTATAAAGAATAGATTTCTTTTATATACCAAAGTTAATTCTCCAGTTACTAGTCTCTTTCCCTACTGGAGTAAAAGTGTCTTGAAGACAGAGATTCTTTTACTTATTATTGTATTCCCAGTGCTTAGTACAGAGTTGAGCATACAATAAACCACAGAATATTTGTAGATTGAATTGATGTATATATTTAATTTATTTGCATAGTATAAGGATGGTTTTGACTTTTGAGTTAGACTTTATATACAATTCTATATTTTTAAATGCATATTTATATCCTTGATGACTGAAATGACTTGAGAAAGAGAAATTTTAGGTATGTGCCTAGCTATAGAAGAAGTTTCAGTAATATATTTAATATTATTTCTAATAAAATATACTAATAATTAGTTCTGTACTAATAATTAGTTCTGTAAAATAAGTAAGAACATTTATTATTGTGGGAAACCAAAGGCCAGATGAAATGTTCTTAATGATCTAGGCCAGATTCTTAACGTCTAAAAATAATGCCGGAGGAGTTAGTCATGTATCACTAGATGCTGCATTAACTCTTTCAGGCCACTAGGGTACAATTGAGTGCACTGAGGCTGCAGTTAACCAAATGCTGCCCCAGAGGTCTCACTCAGTTATTGAAGCTTCCAGAAGGGCCTATGTCTTTCCAGAGAACAGTTTAAACATTGGAAAAATCTGATCCAGTGTATATTTTCCCACGGTGATATTTAAAGGAAATAGCTAGTGCAAAGCTTTATCCTGTCGTATACAGTCAATTCTTTGTTTAAATGTACCTCTGAATAATGAAGACCCTTCCTGCTTCTCTTTTGCTTGCTAGCATTTCCAGGGGAGTTAAAATAGATTACGACGTAGCTTTATTTATAAAATGAAATTTACATAATAAATGACTTATACGATCCAATAATATTGGTTCTTTGGAAATTATCTTAAGGCAGAAGAGGATACTAAGAGTGGCAGGAGAAAGGGAAGTTATAAAAGATAAATGTCAGATGTATCTTAGATGTTACCACTATTTGTTCTACAGTGAAGTCCCTTGAGCCCCAGTAATTGCTAGATACAAGTGAGATTAGAAATAATTTTAGTTCTTTGTCTTTTAATTTAGTCATGTGGGCTAGCTGGAAGGCGACATTGTTGAAATAATTGTGGTGGTGACTCAGATTTAACATTTGCTACACAATTAGATTTTCTTTAGGTCAACCATAGCAGATAAAACTGCTTTCAGTGAACTTTTCTCAGATCTATTGTAATTTCATCAAAGTGTGGTGAACATAATACTGGATGGAGTTTCGTGTTTGAAGAACCATCTTATATTCACTTTTACATTTTTCGTAGGTTTTAATGTTTTCTCTGTTCAGCATCAGCTTTATTCATTTAATTCTCAGATTATCTAGTGTTTCATTCTGTAGGCCAGAGTTGAAGTCCATTATTAATACTTCATTTTAATGCTCATTCATTCACTTACTCTCTCACTCCTAAAACTTTTAATGAGTTCCCTTGTGTCACGTCTGAACTAGAGCTAAGGATACAAAAATGATATAATTCAGTTGTAGCTCTCAAGGAATTTTATAGTTTAGTAGAGAGAGGCAGGTATATGAATGAATAATTCATGTGAAATGTAATAATAGCTATACTACTGTACTATAAGTACACATAGAATGCTATAGAAACATAAAAGAGCAAGTGACTAAATTCAACCTAAGCCTTCTGGGTTTGGGAGAGACATACAGAGGAGGTGACATTTCAATTGGGCCATAGAATTTAAGTAAAGATGTTTTTAGAAGAAAATACAGAGTAAGGTGAGAAAAATTCTAAGAGAGAGTGCCAGATAGAGTAAAACAGAAGAGGAGGGAAGTAAATTTGTTATACCTGGGAAAGCTTTATCCTGTAGCATACAGTCAATTCTTTGTTTAAATTTACCCCTGAATAATGAAGACCCTCCTTCCCTACTTCTCTTTTGCTAGCCCTCATTTCCAGGGGAGTTAAAATAGATTATGATGTGGCTTTATTTATAAGCTGGGATTTACATAATAAGTGACTTATATGATCCAATAATGTTGGTACTTTGGAAATTATCTTAAGGCAGAAGAGGATACCGAGAGTGGCAGAAGAAAGGGAAGTGAAAGCCAAGGAACGGTTTCCAGGAAAGGATAATCAACGATTTCAAGTTCTCTACTCTACGAGAATAATTATTAAGAAGTTTTTCTGAATTTGGCATTTAGGAGTTTTCTAATATGGAAGAACATTTTCAGTGGAAGCATGGGGACAGAAGATATTTATCTGATTTATCTAATTAGATGTCTGTTTACTTCTCTCTTCTCACTTCTGTGCTGAACCCTACAGCGTTTTTTCTTTAACAAAGTTGATCATGTACAAATTGGGGAAGAAACAAAGTAGGTTTTAATTATGTGTAATGATCATTTGTATTGTTATATGTATGCAACCAGAAGCCCATAACTATTTTTATTTTAATAACAATAGTACATAAGAAGGAGAAGAAAATATATAGCATGATTCTATTTACTTTATCTATCTATCTACATAAGAAGGTTTAAATAATTTATCCAAAATCATAGTTACATGATGAAACCAATTTTCAAATCCAATCTGATCTTTGATTTCAAAGCCTGTGCTCTTTCTAAATTGCTTGTCATTGATAACCTATTATTTGCAAGACACCTCTTCTATGCATTAAGGATTCAAGAAGAAACAAAACAGTCACTTCCTATGGAGCCCTTTTCCTTGGGAGGACTGAGTAATACAGGACAAAGCTAAAACAGAGAAGGCATGGAACTCAAGTTTGCAAGGGACCTCAGTTGCTGTGGTGTGGTGAAATATTGGCATAAGTTGTAGACAGCATTCATACTGACTCACAGGCAGATTACTCCAGTATGTGATTTAAGCAGTGAACCATCTACCTCCACCTCAAGACACACAAGTCAAAGAGTCATCCTTACCTGATCCATGTGATGCAGGGGATAGTTGGACCTAGCTCCTAGCAGTGGTTTCCTCCTGCTCCTTCCAACAATATGACTACTCTCCTCTTCAAAATCTTCTCTACTTCAGAATTTCATATTTACTCAGACAATTCTCACATCTGATTAGCCTCTTTGTTGGGACAAGAATGTGGACTTCTTTTTCTTGTGTGCTGTTTCTTAGGAGCCATTCTTTACTAAGTACTCCACTAAATGTAGACTTGGAAGTTTGAGTACATGTGCATGGGTGTATGCTTGCTAAAGTGCATGCTGAACAGATCACTTTACAAGAATAACGGAGGGACAGATTAATTTCCACAGTGTGACTATGGATAAGAAGTATGGGGAGAAGATTGGGTAGATCTGAAGAAAAGGGAAAATTATAGAAAATTAAAGATGTGAAATGCAAGACAAGATTTCTGCTTCTGTAAAACTGTCTCCATAGGAACACAGACCAATTAACATGAAACACTTAAAAAATAATTAGAAGCAAAAGTTTTGCTGATGACCTTGATTATATTAGCTCAGAGAAGAGAAATGGAGGGTGGAAGAGAGAAGTCAAGAGACTTTACCCAGGAGATTAGACTTGAGAGCCTTTAAGAGATGAGAAAATCTAATCAAGCAAAGAAAGGATGACATCATGTACATGGATTTATAGAACACCAGCGAGTATAATTCAATTGAGATTGTTTTCTATGATCCTTGAAGAAAATTGATTTCATAAAATTCTGTACCCTTCAGAGATTATTCTTAAATTTCTTATGCATATAATTTATAGTATCCAATCAGGTCAGAAGCACCTAGAAGTATATGCTTTTTCTTCTATTTCATTTTTATCACCCACATATGCCTAGGATAGTGTTCTGAACTAAGAGTTTCCAACAAATGCTTATTAATTAGCCATACAATAAACTTCTGGACAATAATTATAAGAATATCTACTTGTTTGCAGCTATTCTGTCCCAGGCACATCTACTCATAACATTTGTAGGACTTGAAACAAAAGTACAAACCAAGGCCATGTATTAAATGTTTTAAAGAATTAAATCATGCTAACAAGCTATTACTGAATGCATTTAATCTTCCCAGTTCAACAAATACTCTTTCAAAATGAACATGGAAAATCAAACTCAGAGTAAAACTAGCTGAATGATTTCTCGGGCTCTCTGGAGCTCCATTTATAAGGAAGTAATGCTGGGAGAATGTACTCCCCTCCAGGCTTTCCCAGCACTAATTCAGGGTTCACTGTTTGGATTATGACAGCACAGCACATGCTTATGAGACACTCTCTGAGACTCACTCCCAGTCGTGGAGGTGAGCACATCAAAGCCATGGTCTAGAATCAGGGAAGGGAAGTGAAGGGAAGGTTAGGTTAGGTTGCTGGGCAGGACCAGTTGAGCTGGTGATTCAGGGTCCAGTTTATGGTGGGGTGGCACGTGGGCCCCACTTAGGCATGACCCTTGGTTTCATAAACACCTCATGGGAAAGAGTTTCTGCTAGAATGAGATCTTCTGAAGTATGTGCCTTTCTCAAGCCTTTTGCCAGGTATTGTCCTAAGTGCTTGAATATTTTATTGATAAGAATTCTAGACATCAAAGTTCTTTAACTGTCCGACTTGAGTTCTGACATGTAGTATAGAAATGAATGGTGGAGTTAGGATTTGTAACTGGTTTCTGTGACCCTAGAGCCTCTTTTTGTTACTTGGGTGATTTGGGGACAATAAAAAAAAACTATTTTATTTTCATTTAGACCAAAAACAGTGGGTTTCTTCCTTCAACAAGCTTAAAGTCTATTACAAGTCAGTGTGAGAGAGAAAGGCAATTAAAAAAAAAAAATGCTGTATTTTTCAATCGAGTTTGTATGGTTGTTTTCCCACTGATCTTGGAATTCACTACAATATATTTATAGTTTCTCTTTTCTTCTACCTTAAGTTATGAGGGTGGGGTAAAGGAAGAAACCAGAATTGACAGGTGTAGGAAAAGAAAGAGTGAGCATGGGCAAGGACATGTTGATAATTTTGAACTTCAAATCACATGAACCAAAAGCAGAAGGGGAAGAATCAAGTAAGTGACATCAAAGAGAAAGGAGTTAGGATTAAAACCATGGCCTTAAATAACTGGCCATACTTTTTAAAAATGTAATCTCTTAAAGGATAAATATTTTTGCAAGTCCCCTGCTATAGGATCCTGTTTAAACATTTATTAACATAAAAAGGTATAACTTTTATTTAACAATAAAGGAATATAAATTTAGAAAATGAATATGAACTAAAACTACTCCATCCTTTCATTCATTCATTCACTTATCCATTCAACAAATGCTTAATTGACATTTATTATGAGCCAAGCACTAAGTATATAGCAGCAAATAAGACAAAATCCCTTCTCCCATAGAATTGCTTTCTAGTGGGTTGAAATTAATATTAGTAATATTTATTGAATATGAAGGAATGATATTTTGCTAAAACTAAGTCTTTACTCACAACATGGATCTAATTCTAACAGCTTTTGAGTTTGTCATGACCACAACATACTGCACATTCAAGGATGACTCAATTCTCTGACAATTTGTCACTAATCATATTACTGCTAAATATCTCATTATAGCCATTGACTTCCACAGGGCACAAACACAGCATTTATATTTAAATTCATTTCTCCTTAGCCATGACAATTAAATAGTACATGATAGCTATTATAATCACAAACATAAACAAAGACTGAAGATTTTGTACTCAGCTATAGGGTATTGTTACAATGATCCTGAAAAACTTGCTTTTATTAAATAGATTATCACAGAAATAAAATAAATATTAGAAAATACATTGTAGATGACTCTAAGATCCATGGGAAATCATGGTTTCCATCATTCTGATTGAAAAGGGTTTTTGTTATTAGTTTTTATCAACCTGGCTTTGAATCATCTCTGACCTCCCTGAAACCAGGAACACAGTGACGCATCTTTGTATGTACAATGCTTTTCATGTATCTAGTATTAAGTAGCTACACAGACAGATTTTTTGAATAAATGGACAGAGGGATAACTCAATAAACTCGGTGCTCAAAATATATTTTGTACAGAAATCTGTTTATTTGACATTTGTTAGCAAGCTAGAGATAATTCTGTCTGCCTTTTTGAATATATGCCTGTAAGTATGCCAACACTGTATTATTTTCCTTTAGGATTAGTTATTGTAAAATCAAAAGTATCACATTTGAGAAATAAATCTCTTCATTCTACTGATAGCTTTTTATACATTGATAATTTCCTTCCATTTTTAATCCTCATGCATAGATCTAAAATTGTATGTGTGCGTGCATTTTTTTCCTTTGCCATTACCTTATTTATACATTAATGTTGAGTAACACATATATTATATATGACATTATATATCACATATAATATTATTCTATTTATATATATTACATATTGCATAACATATATATTATGGTAAGATTTATGCTTATTGCAAAATTGAAATTTATTATAGATCATTTTAAAATGTAGAAAAGCAAAATTTAAAACATGATAGCACTACCATGAAGAAAGTCTGCTATTTTATTTTCCATTATAATCTTTCATGTGTGTATAAGTGTGTGTGTCCAAAAATGAAAGCCTACAGTCTATATTCTTTTAGAAATAGCATATTTAATACTACTAGGGAAGTATTGGTATGTAAAATATATAGTTAAGATGCAAAAAGAAATCTAAGATGTACATTGACACCACATCGCTAAAATAACCATACCATACAGATCTTTGAGGTGCCTGTATTTTCTGAAAAACTTGGTGAGGAATGTCAACAAAATATCTAGGATCAGAAGTAAGTAAGCAGAAGCCCTGAGAACTAAAGGTAGGAGAGAAGCAGGATCTTGTTGCTAGGCAATCCACATTCCAGGAGGAGACTTCCAAATAGCACCCCCCACTGATCTACCATCCCACATGGCACATGCTGAGTGTTTATAAGGATGGCTGGGCTCCAGATGTAGACTGACCTCTGAAGTTCAGTTTGTGGCCTGCATGTGGATATATCCCTGATCTTAGCTCAGTCTGCAGCCCAGATGGAAAACTTTAGGACAGACCTTCAGTAAAACTCCTGTGGATTTACAGTAAAACTGTCTGGTGCGATCTATTGAAAGGTGTCTGTCACTGGTTTCCCTATCATAGGTATGGTTAGAATGTGGGGAGTCTAGAATCAGAGCAGAAAAAACCACACTGTCAAGTCTTTTCAGGGATATTCAAGATAGGAGGGAAATTTGGGGGGTAGAAGAAGGGTAAGTGAACAAAGTCTGTTCCATTTCCTCTGGCAAGAGAACACATTTATGATTGCTGTAAAACAGACAGTGTGACTTTCTTAATCAAATTACTAAAAATGGCAAACTTTGGGTCTTATAAGAAATGACTAATTGGTATCCCCAAAATGCTGTTTTCTGGAGGACCTGATCTTCTGAAAGTACTATTACCATTTTCTTGATTCTTGAGAGATAATCTGAATCTTCTGTACTTTTTTTAGAGCACGGGGAAATGAAACTATCAGTTAGTGAACTCATATATGTCTACAATCTCTTAACCACATTTCAAGATCCTCAAAAGTACTGAAAGTATAGTTTGTTATTGCTTTTTAAAAAAATAAACAAGCATAGAGAAAAAATGCAATATTCAAGTGGTCCTACATACCCTTCAATTAAATCCATTAACTATTAGCATTTTGCCATATGTATCTAGAAAATAAACTGGGCATCACTAGTTTCAGCAAACTAAGTTAGCAACAAAACTTGACCCGAAATAGCAGGTAACTCTGAAAGGTGTTTAGTCACTCTGATATGGTGTCGTTATCCATATATTTCATTGTAGAACTTTTGAAAATTTGATTATGGCATACCATCTCAGACTCTTTTGGGATGTTAGGTATTTATGCTATGTGAATTTTTGAACTTCCTAAAATCCATATAATTTCTGAATTTCAAAATGCATCTGGTTATAAGAATTATAGATGAGGGATCATGGACTATGCGCTAAGTGCTAAATGTTATGCTGGGCAACTGTTCTTTTTCTTCTCTAATCTATAGCAACTCCGCAGAGAAGTCAATCTCCACTTTATAACACTGTCACTTGTTTTGTAAATGGTAGATCCGGGTTTTAAACATTTGTACATCAAGATTTATATCTTAGCTGTTTTCACTAAACAATATTGATTTATTACACTATCCTGGCACCTTGAGGAAACAAAGGTTTTAAAATAGCCCAGAGTTGTGATGGTAGATGTAGGACCAAATTAGAATCTACCAATTGAGAGAACCACAGTTGTCTGTTGCTTCCTTCATCATATTTGTGTCTTTGAAAGGTGGAAATCACCTGTAGCTATCCAGATCTATCCCCAGTAACAAAGGATATACAGAAATATATATATATATATATATATGTAGACTTATCTATCTATCTATCATCTATCATCTTCAAGCATCTCAGCTAACCTCTGTTTTTGATTATAAGAAAGGTTTTGCTGTAGAAGACCTCCACTTCATAGACTTTCAGTCTCACCTTCAGTTTCTCCCAGCTGAGTGTCCTGAACAATTCATCTACACTCTCAAAGGCAAGATAGAGATAATTCTGCCTGCCTTTTCAAACACATTATTTCTAAAATGAGATAATAATTTTTCTTAAATTATGGAGTTGTAAAAAATTAAATTAGATAACACAGTGTCTATCATCTAGTCAGCAATAATTACTGTGAGAAATTATTGTTATCATCCTCTGCTCAGCTATGTTCCAAGAGTGCTGATGGAGGATGACTTTCATCAAAATCTGAATTTCATTCCCTCTAGTTCCTTTCTTTGTATATGGTAATGTCTATTTTTTGTAGGAGTGATTGTTAATTATAATAATGATCAATTAATCTTTCCAATATACCACTTATTCTGCTGAAGCTCCATCCTGCAACCACCATTGCCTTTTTGCTTATTCAAATACTGCAAATAGCTTAAGGCCCGATTCAAGTCTTACCCTTACCACAAAGCCTTTTATAGCCCCCAGAGCTTCATGTCCCTCAGTCATATTGCCATCTCATGTGCTCAAATAGTGTTTATTCTTTCTGCTACTGCCTGACACTTCAACTCCATGACATCTTAGTTATCACCTTATTCTTTTTTTAAAGATTTATTAATTTATTTTATACAAGAACAGGGGTACAGGTCAGAAGTGTGGGAGGGTGAGAGAATTCACCAGAGTCAGAGCGGGGAGCAGAACAGGCAGACTGATGAAATACACTGCTGAGGGGAGCAGCGGGTGTGGCAGGAGAGGTCTGCACGCCATGTGGACCCTTGCCGGTAACCAGGGATCAAACCAGAGCTGCAGAGGCTGCAGGCAGCTTCGCAGAGCAGCACTCAACTGCTGTGCCACTGGGGAGGCCCTCACCTATTCTTTTAAGTAACTATGAAGGTTAGGAGCCATGTCTTTATTTTGCACCTTTATCAGGTGATAAGCCATTATAGCTAGACCTTAAGAAAGAGTCTAAATAAACGTTTGTGAACTGAACATAAGAATTT